CACTCCGCTGCAGTTGATGGACTCGCCCGGAGGTCTCCATATAAACAAGCGGCTGCTGGAAAAGGGTAGGTGAGTTGTGTTTAGTCTCTTTGCTAAAGAAATTAGGCAAAGCTAAAAAGATGTTTGGTGTCTAGTGCTGTGGCTAGGACCCTATATGTACTGTTGATGAAGTTAGGTGCTGTTCTGAGCATTATTTGTGGCTAAAGAGTGGAGTTTTGGTTGAGTGCGTGGCTCTCTGTATTGCTATCCTGCTGTTGTTACTAAAGTTGGTGTAATTAGAGAAGCAAGCGGTCGGCAACATTCATCTCTCGACGGCGTGTCTAACTCGGTGTTACGGTGTGTTTGAGCCTAACTTAATTTTACACCGGAATATCCCTTTAAGTCTTTAGTGTGTTTGGGAGAGGGACAAGTCATTTGTTAGCACCAGTGTCAGCCTGACAGATATATTTATAAACTAAACTGCTAAAGTCACAGAAACATGAAGATTTCAAACACTTAAAAATATTATCTGGTAAAAATATGTTACACAATGTGTTTTTCAGCAGCAGCAGCAACTTCTGATGCTTAGACAGCTGTCAGCTCAGCATGTCCTTAAGCTAACCAGCTTGTACTATCTTGTGGAGCAAAGACAGCTTTATTTTTCAGCTGAGATAAAGAGGTAAAGGAAAAGCACATGATTTGATCTCTATCTCTTCATGGTCCATCCTCCTCTTCCTCGTGCTCTCAGTCCTTTCATTGAGCAAAAATAGATCATCTTATTACTCCCCCTCTTATGTGCCTCTCTGGTTTTGTCTGTTCTTTTCCACCCAGATTCCTCTCATATCAATCCTCTGCCCCTTCCCCGCCTCCATACCCTCTCTACCATGTCGCCCTTCGTCTATCTTTATCCCTCCTCTTCCTGACTGCTGGTGTCACCTGTCAGCTCACACTCCCACAGAAGAGGATTTTATTCCAGAGTCTGGCAGCTGGCCTTATTGGGGTAAGGTGAGGGGTCTCAGAGAGAATCCTGTGTGTCTTTGTACGCACAGCTCCTCTCTGTCTCATGGTTTTTATGGTAGTGACTCAGAGTGAGGGAGGAAGGAAGACATGTTTTGGCTATCCATGGTTGTCTTTGTTTTTGTTTTTGCCACAGACAGTTTGAATTAAATGATTATTTGAAGGCCGCTGAGGCCTCTTAGTCTCAAGGTTGAATCCTCAGAATGAAAAAACAGTAAATGCTTTTAAATAGAAACAATCATACAAATACTGACTGTAAGGGTTCCCAATGAGAGGTTGTACCTGCCATGTAAAAAACGTGGACCTTAGCGCTCCAATGAAGCATTCTATCTGACTACAAAGACACTGAAACTAAGGCAGATGTCTCTTTATGACTTACAAAGCAAACAGTTGAGACCATCAGTGACGTAACTGTGTGCTCCTATATTTGCTCAGTCTAAATATGACTTTGCTAAGTCAGTGAAGATGCAAATAGTAACCAGAATGATGAGCAGAAAGACACCAGGATGTTACAATGAGCTTGATTTCACTTTAGATGATGGTTTGTAGGAACATTTCAAAGCAGAATTCACATGGGCAGAAATACACACAGAACAAGCAGCTCTTCCTACATTGTGACTCTTCAAAACCCTAAACCTGCACTTATGTTATTACAGTCTGACCCACATCATGTGTGTTGCCAACAGCAGTGATACCAACAAGCCCCGCGTCGTAATGATAAGCTAACAGGCTAACCACCGCTGATGTCTTCATCCGTTTGTATTCTCCCACATATGGTTATCTGAAAGTTGGTGGTCAGACATGGAGGCAACATATTTCTGTGGTCAGCCTCTCCCAACCAGACGGCAACGCTCCCGAATAGTCAAAGAGAAAGAAGGAGAGAGGGAAGAAACTGGCTAGCTAAAAATAGCCTTAGCCTTGGGGCTCAGCAAGAGGCCTTCTGCAGGAGGTCTGACCACACAGAGAGGAGATGGTACAGTATATATACAGACTCTGACGTTTCAAATACAAAAACAGGAACAGATTTATTTAGTTTGAACCCTCTCTATAGGAAGAACTCACACTCGCAATCAATCACATGCTTTAGCTGGTGCGTAGACGGTTTGTTTAAACACACAGGCATAAATTTGGGGGTCACTGGGCCAGTGGTAACTTTTCTCTGTTTCAAAAACAATGAAACATGTGGCTCACATCCTCAAACTCCCTCACAAAAACTGTTTGTGATTACCAACTGCTGTTGTGAAACAAAGCTCAACTAATTTTGCAAGACTTATTCTCTTGGCAGCCCTGAGGGAAAATCAGACCACTGAAGGCACTTCATTTAGATTATTCTCATGGCTTTTATTATCTTTTCGTGGTACGAATGTTTGTGTCTCTTAGTGCCTTGCCTGGCTTTGTGTTTTCCCGCATTACCTCATGAATATCCTGTTTTGTTTAAATTGTTTATAAAAACTCTTTGAAGAAACTCATTTTAAAAGGTGATATAAAAATAAGACACAGTCCACACGAGCGTTAGATGGAAGAGTACGCTTTAATCTACCAATTTAGCATGCTAACTAAAACAAACACTTTTGCCAAAGTGTCAACAGGCAGAAGTGAAACTTGTCCGACTTCCCTACATGGACTGTTATGATCTGATGTTTGTGATCAGGCTGTCTCAAGCATAGGTCATGCTGATGAAACTAACTCCTGTTACTTGCATTTGGACTGAGAGTACCAGGAAAAAAAAAAAGGTTCTTGTGGCCAATTCTTGTCTGGGTTTCCGTCGCAGCCTGACATTGATTAAATAAGTCCAGGACAGTCTTTCCACCAACAAAGTCACTTAAGGATGACTTTATTTAGTACTCCAGTGTAAAAAAAAAAGATCATAAACATGTTGACTATAAGTAGGGATTTTATTAAGAAAAAAAACCCCTCACGTTATGTGGTATATTTGCACTTAAGCAATCTTCTTTTCATGCGTCGTCTATCTGTCTGCCATTCTCTCTGCTCAGCTGCCATCTGTGTGTAAATTGACAATTCATTTTCTATACAGCACATACTGTAGTTTCACTGGTCAACATTAAGTAACATGAGATACTCACAATAGTGTTGTGTCGTTCGCGAACGATTCGCTCAAAAGAACTACATTTTTAAGCGAACGTACTGAACCGAATCACTTTCTCGAAAGATTTTTTTGTTTCTCACTTCATTTAAGCTGAAGTGAGAAACAGCATTGCCATTCCAGCAGCCGATGGCGGAGGAACCACATGACACCTGAATCACTTGGTGAATGAATAACGCATTAAACTACACTATCTGGAATCATTTTTGTCAGACAAAAGCAACTATTTATTTTTTTCACTGCTAAATTGCCACCACAACAACTTGCAAACAATAGGAAACAGCATGTAACAAGTACTACATCCTGTCATTGCAGCAGTTTATGAGGGAACGGTGCATGTTCAGTTTGAATTCTTCTAGTCGTTCAGTGAACGAATCACTCACTGAGCCCAATTTACCGAGCAGACATGATAAATAGCATACCATAGGACAGTACACTTAAAACATCATGACTTATAAACAAGTTCATTTTTACAAACCTGTTTGCCAAAGCAACACAGCCAAACACTTGTCTCCCAGTCCCAGAAGCTATGAATTTAACTGAATCCTGAACTGTTTAGCTGTGTATCAGTTCAGGAGGTCAGAGTCGCAGGCTTCTCTCGCCAAGTGCCACATGATTTGGTGATTTGGTGAACGAATCTTTTGAACAAATCTTCTAAGTGAACTGATTCTAGTGATTCAGTACATCTAAAAGAACTGCCGTGTCCATCACTAACTCACAACCGACTCACAAAGATCAAATCAGTGCTTTATCACTTGATCACTAGCCTTCTTGGTTATTATTATTATTTTGTTGGTAGGCTATTTAGTTCATATTTAGATACAGAGAGAAATGTCTGACCCTTTTTTACTTCACTTCTTCTCAAATGTGGCCTCTTAAAAAGTCATTAAACAGGCCTGCTGTCGACGATCAGGGCTCGCATGTAATCACTAAAAAACGATTTCCTGGCACTGCAGCTGACGAAGAAAACAAAAAGCCTTTTAACTTCTTCTTTTTCATTGTAAGCACGTGTTCATTTAAAACCCCCGATTGCTTGTAAACACAACACAGCTTGCAAACCTCCAACCGCATGACCTGCCTTCTGCCTCTGACTTGTTCCGCTGTACAGTTGGTGGAGATGTTGGCCTCTATATTTTTTTTTTCAGTGTGGTTTAGTTTTCTGAGAAACTGACAGGAAAACGACAACCGTGTGCAACGCCTCAGCTGTTTCCTGCCTGTGTTGACGGCAAAATGTAATTTGCTCGCAAGAGAAAACAAGAAATGAAGACGCAGCGGGGAGATAAAGGATGATAGGGCGAGGGGAATTAGGCAGGATTAGATCAGAAATTAAAGAGGCACAGATTTCAGCAGGCAGATCATGAAACCGAGGGGGGCAAAAGAGGAGCAAAAATAGGATGAAAATGAGAACAATTCAAACGAGCGTGATTAAAAACCGAGTGGAAAACTACCGAGAGTGGAAAACAGCTGACAGGAAGATCTGTGCCTCTTCTACTATGAACACAGCTGTGTGAGAAATACACTCATATACACTATCTTCAAACCACCCACATCCAAGACGAAACAGTCAGCAGCATCCACGTGTGAACACAAACACACACCGAGGCGTAAACTGTACAGAACGCTGTGTGCCCTGGTGAAAACAGGAACTCAATTTAATAACACTCAGATCTACATAAGCATGCCCCCAAGCACGTACTTACACTCTCGCACACTTGGCCTTGCAGCTTTCCTTCAACAACATTGTCAGATATCACTCACGTAGACACCATCCTCGCACTCTAAAAACACGGTGTCAGTAATCAGAGGTTCAAAGTTAGATTTGACTGAATACACAAGCATGGGATTTTAAATTAGAAACAGTTTCCAGCTCAAATGACAGCCCAAAGAACACATCCAAAACTAATCTGTTGATCCGAACATTACCGAGTTTAATGGGTTCAATCTGTGTAGGTGTGCGTATCTAATATTGGTGATAAAGCTGCAGCTAAACATTTAACATACAAAAACAACAGTGACCTACATAAGACAAGCAGCTTAATGAGTAACTGTAGCAGTCTAATTTCCCTGTGGGACTAATATGTTACTCATTATCCACATAGCACCTCCTCATGAAAGATACACAAGCTGGAATTATATTAATTAGGTTATGCATTAACCTTAATTCTATGAGCACAGGTGGAGTCGCATAATATGCTAAGTAAACTTTGCAATGTTGAGCACTGAAAAAGAAGACACTTAAAGCCAATCAAGTTGCCCTTTTAAATGCAGTCTGTTTACATCTGAGGTCAGGTGTTTGTGTTTACCACACTAAGGTTTTCATTTAAGAACAGACTAAGATATGTTTAAGAGCCATTAGCTCCTGTTGTTGTGTGCAATGTAAGCTAATATTATAACAACATGATAGTTTGCACATTTTGAATCTTAGATTTATCAAACATTGCAATGCATCATAATCGACCTGTCTTGCATAACATTAATCACAATTTCATTGTATTGTGATATAATCATAACTGAGGGATACATATGTAATCTAGCATATCAAATAATATCATATTACATTTTATATAATACATCATATATCATTATCATACCATATATCGTCATTTCATATAACATCATATCATATCGTATCGTATCATATTGTATCATTTCATATCACATCATATCATATCACATTACATCATATCACGTCACGTCACGTCGTATCATATTATATCATATCCTATCATATTATGTCATAAACCCTGTGATAACATATACCATAGCTAAGTTACTGACCTTGCCTTTTCTTTGTGATCGTTGTTAAACGCAGCTAAGAGCTCAAAGCTTCAGAATTTTCTGCTTCTGTACTCGCACCCTTCAAATCAACCTCGGGCTTCATATTGCAGTTATGCCACCATTGGGATAAGTTGGCTCTGTCCTACATACAGACTATGGATTGGACAGTATTTGAATTTCACATTAATTAGCTGCTATTAGCATTTTGCTGATGACACCATGCTGCAGTTTTGTAATAGTTAGGCTAGCTTCTCGTTTTTGCACCTGAAACAACCATGATTTTGGAGCAACATAAGCAGGTACCCTTGGTCTTATTGGATTGAATGATAGAGGTAAGTGTTTTAAGACTTTTTTTACATGATTAAATTTTAAAGCCTCATGTGATTCGTAAAAAAAAAAGATCTATCCATTACAAATAGTTATCTGCTCAATTTTACTCACCAGTACTTGATAAACATGCAACCTAGAATAAGGATAGATTATACTCAAGGGCCATGTTTCGACTTTTCATAAAGAGTAATAAATGTTGGATATCGGAAAAATACATTGAGTTATGAAAGCCAGAGGAGCAAAAGGTAATCTATTAGTGTAGTGGGAGTCCTATTCAGCCTGAGGGTGTGAAATTGCCTTTGAAGAAGTAATAACTCTTACATTTCTATATGACACGAAGAAAAGCTTAATAGAGGGAAGAAAAAAAGTGCGTCATGGGATACAGACAGAAACAGCCGTATTTTGTTTTACTGTATACTGTCTATTATCCTCTCCCCCCCTGCTATTCTGGACCGTCAGCAGTGATCGTAAACCATTTGAGGTGTAGCCAACTCGGAGTTGTAGAGCTCTCTAGAAGTACCTGGAGACAGACGGAGCCGTTGGAGGACACTGGCTGCAAATCAAAGAGGGGAAGTGATTAGAGGAGACTGAGGAGAAGCCACAAGAAAGGGAATTTTCACATTAGTCATTTTTTATTATAGAAAGTATTACAGACATGTAATCTTTTTTACCAGTGTGCACTGATGAGGTGAGTCCAATATCCTGTCTTAACTTCATTTATTGAATTTATTTCACATGAGGGGAGGATTAGATAAAAAGAATGAAAAGAGGCTCATTAGTTTTGTAAAATATAGAGAGAAAGTCAAGATAATTTATCCAAAAAGTGTCTTTACACTGAATGTTTTCCCAACCTTGACATGCAACCAAGTAAAAGAGCAGTCCAGACCAAGCCGGTTAGCATCCAGGCTGACAAAAGAGGCGGACAATGAAGTGCCGAAAACTGCAGTTCATGGAGAGGCCACTTGGGGCCAACTCCAAAAAAAGAGTCACACCGTATAGTGTGATCATAGAAGCTTAAATAGTTAGTATTACGCCCTCGTACTTGAAAGGATTTTCGTCTTCTTATTCAAAACAGCTGTATTGTGTTCATAGTTTCATTTAATATAATGGTTTTAGTTATGCAACAATGTAAAGCAAACAACACAGGCTAATGTGTTATTTACAGGCCCCTCACCCAACTTCAGAAGAAAGTGAAATACAACATAACTCCAGCTCAATCGTGGTCGTTTCTGGCCCCAAAATACCCAGATAGTGGAGGCCAGTATACCCAACTTAAAGCTTCAAAATAAAAGTCCTCTGACTGGTAACACTGGCTGTGTCCTCTTCTTTAGTGACAGTCCGTGTGACAGACAGAACAGATTGAGACCCAAAGGCGTTGAACCCAGATTGGTCACTGGAAGGCTGTGACAGACACGCACACAAACTTCTGCACCCCGGTAGCAGCTGTTGGGGCGTGTTGGAGGTAGATATGTGCCGCAACACCTCCGCCTGAATTCAGACGAGTTCTAGTAGGATTTAGTGCTGGCTCGGCTGGAATGGGCTGGACCCATGCCACGCATTCCAGCGCTGCAGAACGCTCTCTGTTGGCCTACTTGTGTCAGGCACTCGGGGAAGCACGTACAGAACTCCCACACACTCTAACTCACACAAGTACACAGAGGAGGAGGAAGGGGTGGAGGAGGAGGAGGAGGAAGAGAGGGAAGAGGGGGAGGAGGCCATGTTGCTTTTTCTCCAGACTGTAAATAAAGACTTAAGTGTTCTCTTGCTCTCAGCTTATTGATTCAATATTATATCCCTTGACTATTGATCCAATTTCCATGTCTTTTAATGAACCCTTGCCTTGTTCTGTTTTTGCTCTTTTCTTTGTTTTTCCTTCTTTTATATTTGGAAGTAAACACGCACTAACAGTCCCAGGCTTTTGTTCACTGGTTTAATTGTTGTGTTTCATGGACACAGTGTTCTCGAAGTGTTGAGTGTTAGTCAAGTATCAAGTCCAAGTCCATCGTTAATAGTATCATTAGGAGATTGGAGTTTCAGCGCTGTGTCTGATCGGTAGTTTGATCCTGAATGTGAACAGCATGGATGTGTTGCTAGGAAGCTGGGTAGAAAACAAAACCTCAACAGATGACAAAAGATGGTGAAATAGATGAAACTTTCCTATTGTACAAACATTACGGAGCTTTTCTGTTGTTCAACATACTTCTCGTTAGCTTTTGGCTTATCTGTTTGTCGATTGTTTTGACATGTAATAAATCAATCAGATGACGACTTAGTTGTAACAAGCTAAAATGGGGGGATGCCACAGCCTATCATTATTTAACTTCTGTCAATAATTTGATGACTGTCACCTAATCAAGCCACGACTGCAGCTGGACTTAACAGTGCATGTAGAAGTGTTGACTGTGATTTGTGTTCTCGTAAGCCCACTTTGAAGTCATCTTGAAACTGTAGCTAAAGTAGACGAGGTGTGAAAGCTCCCATGGGGAAACCCTTCCTCCAAACTACAGAAAGGACCAGGGTATTTGTCAAAACATAAGTCCAAGAAATGTTCTTCCTTGAGCTGTGTTCCCCCAAAGCAGTCCGTAATGGATTGACCTGAGGTCTTAGTACAAATAAGCGGCTGCTGAAAGAGAGAGGGTGAGTTGTGTTTGGTCTCTTTGCTAAAGAAATCAGGCAAAGCTAAAAAGATATTTGGTGGCTAGTACTATGGCTGGGACCCTATATGTACTGTTGATGAAGTTAGGTGCTGTTCTGAGCATTATTTGTGGCTATAGAGTGACGTTTTGGTTGAGGGCGTGGCTCACTGCATTGCTATCTGTGGTCGTTACTAGAGTTGGTATAACCAGAGAAATAAGCAGTCGGCAGCATTTCATCTCTCAACAGGGTGTCTAACTCAGTGTTACGGTGTGTTTGACCCTGACTTAATTTTATGCCAGAATATTCCTTTAAATTGGGTACTGCAACACTATAGGTTTAAATATATATATTTCAATATTTGGAATTTTTTAATGAATATTTTCAGATCAATGTCTTTTTTGGATATTTCCTTTCTTAACGTCCCTTTGTCTGACGCATGTCAATGCACTCTGCAGTAAAGAGGGTCATAAAAGTACATCACATAGGTGCACAGCTGCAGGAGAGCCCTCATCATACGCACTCAAATGTTGCTTCACTCTGAAAACATGCGTACAGCTTCGTATCGTTAATACACACCACACACCCTCATGCTCTGACACAAAAATGAAATATGTACATTGCCGCTCCCCTAATGTACACAAACATAATTTACTGTGTGCTCCACTGGCCTATATCAGAGCAAATGCATGATTGAGAGTGAAGAGTAGCAGGATTCAGCTCTCAATACCTCTTCTCGTAAGGGAAACATCTGCTCTCCCTCATATCCGAGCCCTCTCTTCTTCTTTTTAATCTTCCTTCATGTTTCTCCCTCTCATTCCCTCTGTGAAGTTGTCCCTGTCTTGCTTTCCTCTCATCTCTCCCCCTTTCTTCTCCGTCCTCGCAGCGTGCTCTCCAGCTCTTGGCTCTTTCGATGACTCTCCACCACAGCTGGGGTTGTTTTTCAACCGCCGAGCGCATCAGCAACTGAAAACAACTGGGCCGCATTTCTGTGAAAAGACACTCTACTCCCTGTGAGGAAGAAGTGCTGACCCCTCCGAAAAAAAAGTTTCTCTCTCTCCACGCCTCCTTGTCTTCCCCCTCCTTAACTTTCTTACATATTTCTGTCTCTACGTGCTTTTCGGTAAATGTACAATAGGCTAAAACAGCTGTGGTTCACATTCAATATCCGGCTACAGCTCTCTTTGCCAGAACACAGGAATCCAGGGCGAACTGAACTATCTGGAAAGGACGCAACCGATTCTGGTTTTCTTGGAAATGTCGAATGCTGGCCTACGTGACTGGGCTAAAAGCAGCAGAATAACTGACATAATGAAGTTATCCGTGACATGGATTTCTGAGATCAAATCATTTTCCACCAGCTTCATTCTGTAAATCCTTCATGAAACAGATTCCTTGGTGAATAACAATCAAATTATCTAATCAACTGAATCTTTTCTATATAGAAGACTATAAACGGTTCCTTTTTTCTTCTTTCCCAAATACAGACAAAAAACGTAGATGTTCTGGTTTGTAGCTCCACCATAAAACTGCAGTGGCACGCTGAACATGAAAGCTGCCTGCGACTGTGGCTGCATACGCTTGGCCTACTTTTTGATTTCATTAAATCATTGGGTTGGTGAATGGTTGATGGGAGTTGTGCTGTCTTTTAACTGTTGACAAACTAGATGTCAGGGAAAAAGGATGTGAACTCCCCTGTTGACTTCTGAGGAACTCCCAAGAGTCTGCCTGGTAACTGTCTGGTAGCTCCCTGTAAACTTCCTGTTAACTCCTGAGTGATCTTTTGTCAGCGGGTACTCCCTTATGTGATGAAATCCTCTCAATTACTCTTCATATGACAAATGTCTTACCCTCTGTTAACTCCTTGCCTCTCTGTTAGCGTCATACCTACTCTGTGTTAACTTCCTGTTTACTTCTGTACCTCTCACTGATAACTCCATTGTAATTCAGAGTTACTCTTTTTTATTTGCTCTTTCCTCCATGTTGTCTTCTAGTTTACTCTGTTTTCCACTTCTTGGCTTACTTCTCTTCTTTCTTCCCCATTTACTGTATTTGGACAGTTTTACTCCCTGTTTGATCCTTTTCTACTAACTCTGTTTAACTTCCATTGGTACTCCATGTTAACTCCTCCTTAACTCAACACCTAACCTCCAACTCCTTCATAACTTTCCTGTTTGGCGTTAGGAGAACACGTCAGTACGGATTCATTGTTGATGCATTCTTTAATAGTACACAATGTATGCTACAGGGAAAACCATCAAATCTACCAATTATCTCACTCAGTACGTTTACATGACACCAGAGAAAAACAATTCAACCATTCAAGTCAATGTGTGAATTTCCATCAGCTTTTTTCCTTTCTGCTGCGGCTCGCCAGACTCCGCAGCTGATCACAAGAGTTCTATTTTTTCCAGGAGCTGGAGCATGCCGGATAAATTCAGCACAGATTAACCTGGGCTGGAAAGGAAGTCAGGTACAGACATAAACTAAAACATCCGGCTTCTTTTCGAAATAAAACACTGCAAACGGGCGGGGACGAACAAGTGAGAGGTTTATTGACAGTATTTCATCCTGATGACACCATGGATGAGGGGATACTGATTTTATTGGTCTAGAAGTAGATTTCCTCCTCTGGAAGGACACAATCTACTGCTTATATGGTTTGCCTATGTGGCTAAAGACAACTTGATTTTGCGCAATAGCACATGAATCCGCGGATGCTTGTGAGTTCTAGCGATTCCTGCTATCTGTAATCCGCTATGAAATTTGCCTCACAAACGGATCCGGTGGGAATTGTACGGCTAAAATGGCCACCGTTCCGGATTGGAGCTGTTCCGTATGCGGTGGAAATCCTGGGTTACTCCAATTAAGTGCAGTAACCCAACTGAAGTGCATGTAAACACCTTAGTCCGACTATAATCGGAGTTTGAGAACTCTGATTAAGACACCCAGATAATGGGAATGGAATTCGATTTTCTCTACCATGTAACCGGCGTAGTTGGAGTATGATTGGGCAATGCATGTGTGTGCGCACCACGCCCCCCGTACCCCGTAACAAAAACACCAGAGAAGAATTGGCATGGGGAGTAGCGTGCACCTCATCTGCAGAAAAAGTGGCGCATACATCATGTATGACAAAAACAACGCTGTACGATGCTCCATCTTCTTGCTGGAAAATGCCCAGCAGCAGTTGTAGACACTTCTGACGTCTGGCACAGATCTGCTCTTGTTGTTGACAGTTGTATGAGGTCAACCAGAAACAGCTCAGCTGAAAAGACCCATAACGCCCCCTAGTTTTGGGGAGGAGGACACATTGACGTCAATAATTTGATTTTCTCAGCTGCATGTATATGCCGACAAGTTCGATTCGGCAAAAAAAAAAAAAAAAAACTGATTATGAGCTTAGTCCGATTAAGCTGTGCATGTAAACGCACTGAGTGAAGTGCATTCTCATATTCATACCTCATTCTAACATCATGGCGCTTTGACTCATTGTGACCTATATATGGTACAGTATGTCCATGACCACCAAATCTGCAGTCTAGTGCGTGTCGGTCAGTATCATGTTCAGGGAGTTGTTACCTGAGACCTGGTTATGAATAGCTATTGGTGAAAGCCTGATGGCTAAGTGGATGATTGATGGGACAGTAACATGCCGTGATGCTTTGATTCGAACCGCAGTCTGAAGAGAGAAGTAAATGACAAATTCTCTCATTGAAACAGAAAATAGGACATCACATTAAAGATCAGGAATGCGTTATTTGAAGCAGAGAATGGTGAGGCATCAGTGTGTGACAGTGACTGTGGACTTTGTGGCCTGGTTGTTTGATTTTGTTCTTTGTTGCAGTAGCCATTCAGGGTATTTGCATTCTGCACACATTGAATTATTTGCACATCTCCTCAGGTCAGGCCATGTTTCCTGGCAAATATTCAAATGTTATTTACCAACAACATTTGATGCATGTTGGTATCAGAGGAGAGGAATCAGTGACTTTTTGCTTCTGTGAGTATTTTTGTATTTTCGTGTAAAGAACTTTTATGTCCAGTGTTTCTCTCTAAATTTGTCTTTATGTCAAGATGTTATTCACTTGAAAACTTATTTTTCAGCCTTCAGTCTTTTTCACTGCCTTGTATGGCTGCTTGTTGAGATTCTCAAAAGAATTACTGCCACCAGTTGTGTAAGGTAGGACTGGTTTGGTATCACTTTAAACCTCCATAAAAGACATTTGTCCGTAGAGGGACTCCCAGGGGTGTGTGGGAGTGGCCAGGGGGTTTCATGGCCCCTCTACTAATGAGATTTGCCAACTACTTAGATTTCAAAAATTCCCCCTAAGACTGGATGCACTAAAGGCCATAAAACACTGCCTCCCTTGTGTTAACAGACGGGACAGGGTCAACCTAAAAAAGTACAACATGAAGTTTCTCTCAGACGTGGATTTTGTCATCATAGTAAGTTTTGATCATGCTGATTTGAGTTTTAGGTTTAATCAGTTACTGTGTATTTCTGCATAAAGGCAGTGATGTTTGTCCCTTGATGATATAAGGGGTACCAATATCTGAAAAAGGGGCATCAACATTCGCCGCCATTTTGGCAGGAAGGAACTATCAGCATCAACAGAGACGCACGTAAACAGTAATTCTTTCGTGTTCATTTTTGCTCTAAGTTATCAACTTACAATGGTGGAAAAAGTAAGTTTTTTCTGCTTTCCAATAAGAAGAGAAAACACGGAGCGCAAATGGAAGAGTTGGCAAAGAGATGTTTGTGTGTGATCACCTACCAGTGTGCGAACAACGGTTTTGTTGTTGACACTGTGCATCTGCAGTTTGTGTACCCACCCAGATGTGAAAAAAACGTGGGCCAAGAGAGACTTTTCATTATGCAAGGAATTAAATGTATAATAGCTTGTTCCTTCGATCAGGTACTGCATCAAATGCACTCGGTTAAGAGGTGGTAGCATCTCGAAATCATCTTCTGACCATACAGTGTGTTCATATGGGTCGAGTCCAGCAATGTCCGCAATTTTGCTAAGGTAACGCTCTCTTTCTTCATTGTTCAGCTTGTCCCTGTACCGTATGTTGAGTCCAAGTTTTACTCTCTCCATTCTGTTCTCTGTTTAGTGTGTAGTCAGCTAATAAATAGTTGGTGTTTAAAACCGAACGTCATCCTAATTCCATTCATTCCAATGCGCATAGTGTTGTTATGTCTGTTAAAATGGCCGCACTGGCACGTCACGCACCACACCCCCCTGTGCTGACGTCGGCACTGCTACACTTTATAATGGCCAGGTTGCGTCACCAACACAATATATCAGCACCCACCAAAGTTTGGTTTCCCACCTCACAATGGGCAGAAATACGGTGATGTTGTCCATTAGATATACAATCAGGGGTTGCAGCAGGCTCCCAGTCGCCTACTTTGTGTTTGAATTTGGCACATCACTTTTACTAGGCATGTAAAACACTAAACACATCTATTTTATCACACAGGTGCATAAAAGAGGAATAAGGGAATCGGAAACAGCAAGCAAACTCCAACACGCTGTCTCAATGTGACAAATATACTCATCTCAACATTTAAACACTGTTAAGAAAGTGTTGTCTGTAAATCAGGAAGTCAGAGAGTGTACAGGAGTTTGAAGGCAATTTTTCGAAGAGTAAATAGTTTACATTAATAAGTGTGAATGGTCATGCGCCTGTCTGACCAAACTTGTCAAAAAAGTGTAGCCACGGACTTTGGTGTTCAACAAAGTACTGTACCAGGGCCATTTACTGTTTTTGTGTAAATAAGCTAAACTTTCTGTATGTGGATTCAGTGTTTTCAAATGAAACACATTGTGGCTTGTATATTGTTTTTAGCTGATCTGAAGTTCTACTTTTTGATGGACTCTAGCTTGTCAAAAGTTACTCTTTGTTAGTTTTTGTTGATAAGTGCAGAGAAAATTAGTGCTGTATAGTTTTCCCACGAATGAAGGAGAGGCTGTTGAAGGAATTCTGTCATGTTTGGAACAAGTTCAGATACAGTTTCTGTGCTCGCATTTGGGCCTGTCTGTCAGGAGAGGCTTAAAACGTGACCGAGAACATGATTGTCTACAAATATTTAATGCCTTGGGTATTCCACAGTGAGGCTGTGTGAGAAAAAAAGGAGTTGGTTTGCACGTGCAAAGCATCACGTTTGTTGCATTTGTGCTTGTACACAACTCTTTCTCCAGGGATCTGCAGTCTGCAGCTATCCAAGCTTCTTTAATTTGCCAGCGAGGAGCAAACCTGCCCAAGTAATCTCAGCTGAGGTATCCACACTGAGGCTGTTTTTACACTTTTTTTTTTTTTCAAAGAATTCAATACGGGAGCCAAACAAAGGAAGACCCACATGGTTTCTGCCAGCAACAAAACCTGTTCAAAGAGAAATACTAAACCTTCCTCTCCTGCATCCCTGCACCGCACCAAGGACATCTTTGATGTCATCCAAAACAATGTTTATCTTCCCTCTGTGTACAGCAGCTTTGTTTATGAGCTAACCCTGGGCCTATATGCTGAACTGATAGGTGTCTGTTCTCCAGTCTGTGCCTCGGGGTGGGAAGGAGACGGCAGTGAACAGGAAAAACCACCGTATGGATGAGTTGTTTTTTACTGCAGTTTTATTTAAGATTTGTGACTGGTTCACTTCAAAAACTGTGTTAGGTTATGACCTGTCTTTATAATGTAGCTTTTAGCTTTGTCTTTACCAAGGACTCAAGTAAAGCAAGTAAAACTCTCAAGCAAAGGAAGATTCAACTAATTTTAACCAACTGTCTTGGTTGTGACTGGTTGTGTTGACATAACATGTTGAATTGTTAGCATAACACACGCTTATATGTAGATTTTTTGACTTAATGTAAGTGTGTGTTTTTAAGGGGAGCTTATTTTAAAAATAGTAAACTCTTACTTTGACTTCTTTTTTGACTCCCAAATGCTTCATTCTCAGTCATTCTCATTTTGTTTATATTTCAGTTTTGCCTTAAAAGTGCAAAAACAACCAATAACTTTGTTGAAGGATATCTGTTATACTTATTTTCACTTTCCATTTCACCTTATTTATCTTAAACTGGTATCTTTTACAACCTCACTGCTGCAGTATCCAGCTTGTACTGGCCATTGTTTACAAAGAAGCACAAACAGCCATGTCGTGGTTGTTGTTGTCCCAAACTTTAAAACCCAATCCTGTTTTCTGACGCCTTTGTCTGTATAAGGAAGATAGCTGTGACTGTCCTTGACTACCAAAATAAAACATACTGAATCAACAAAGTGCAAAATGGAGAAAAAAGCTAGCAGTAAGGTGGACTTTCCAGGTAAGAGAAAATTAGGAACAACTTGTGGGTGGGCATGTCCTTAAAAAAATAGTTAAAACTGCAGAGTGGAAAAGTCCTACAGGATTAATGTCAGAGCTTGATGAGAGTTTCAGACCAAATCTCACAAAGATATCAAAATGAGGTGATCAGAGGGACTGAGAAGATGTCCAGGGTTATACCATCTCCTGTGAATCTTGTTTTGAAAATTTGACACAGTTTGGTGTGGATATCCAATATTGTGACGTAATTTGCATGCATCAAAGTACAGATCAGCAAAAAACATCTCATTTAATGTGACTGAAAATCATTGAATTATCTAAAAAAGTCTTGAAAAATCTTTAAACTTAATGATATTTGCTCATATTAGTTCCAAATCTTCTGTATTAAAGACAAAATCCCTGAAATGATCAATTCCTTGCCTGTTTTTTAACACAAATGTAGGCCACTCTATTCCCCAAACAGCGATTCGGCCATCTGATGTGCATTTGTGTGATTCTGATTAATGCCCCCCATGCCAGCAGATGCTCACATGCATGCATGAGTCCATACATTGTACACAAGCAAGCAACTGTGCACATATGTGCACCACGCATGTGAACAATGCCACCAGTTGCCGTGGGTGGAAGCTCCCTGGTCGTCTGCCAGCATGCAGGGGAGGGACTGACCACGGTACAATGGAGGGTGTGAACTGGCTGCAGGGGAGGGGGAAGCACAGGAGGAGGGGGAGAAAAAGACGGCGGCGGGGCCAGGGGGGTAGTAAGCAGAGATAAAGCCAGACAGATGGGGCAGACAATGAGGCATAGATACCCACCCTGCATGTCAACAACTCCCCCGCTGCTGCGTTCGAACTTTATTCGCTTCTCTCTCCCCATGTGCCAAAGTTTCTTCTTCCTCTGGTTTCTTTCGCTCCATTTCTCAGCTGTGAGCGTGATTAAAACAAGATAAAACTGCAATTGTTTCTATTTTCCCCCCGCATGAACTTTTACTCGACAACGTCCAAACAAATTAAACTTTCTTCCTCTCTCTGTTTGTTCCCCGGCCCTCCTCCTTTTCCTCTCCTTCCTCATTGTTTCCTGATCAGATAAGACGAAACCTCGATGCAGCTGCTGAGGAAGGGAAAAAAGAGAAGAGTAAAACAGAGAGTATAGATAGTATGGACACCTGTTGTGCTGAAACCCCCTTGTTTGGAAAACTGATCCCATCTCCCCTTTCTCAGGTTTCTGCAAACAACCTCAGCTGTCAGAGAGTCATGAAGCTCTCTGTCTCCTTCAATCTGTCCCTCATCTGTCTCACACGGCTCCTCCATCGCACGGCGAGGTTGGCTGACTTTGGTTTGTTCTCTGTGGGCCTCAGCAGCTTTGAACACCTCTTCGTAGAATGACTCTGGTGAGGGCATCGCAGGTTTTCAATGGAGATAGGAGGCGAATGCTCAAGAACAAAGTTTACTCAGGGTTTTGAGCTTTTGCTAGCTTCTTATGAGTGAGTAAATAAGTACAAAAAGAGCTGAGAAGAACAAATATTTACCAGTGAGTGAAGCAGCATTTTGACCCACAAACAGTTTTACGTAAACCTGTGACGTTACTGTTCAGTTTTTCACTTGCTACTACAGTTTGACTCTTTTCTTGACATTTTGAGGTTATTCTCAAAAATCTATTTTAATGTTTTTAAATATTTGGACTTAAATTACAACATTATTTTACATTTTTACGTTTAAAATTGAAACTTTTTTCTTCAAATGCTTTATGTGAAAAATTCTTCCTATTAAGCGTTTTTCTTTACTTGTTGGTGGCAAAAAAATTGGTTGTCTATACTCAAATTTATTTCGAATTAAAAGGTTCCCCTTCTTTCTTTCTTTCTTTCTTTCTTTCTTTCTTTCTTTCTTTCTTTCTTTCTTTCTTTCTTTCTTTCTTTTATCCTCCTTTGCTGTATAAACTTTCCAGTTTGATAGTGAGTCAGTCTTACTAAAGTGAAAATATCCCTTTAGGTTTTTGTATCTGGCTTGTTATATAACACAACTCACACTTATCTTTTATTTAAACCCAGTTAAAATCGCTCAAATTTATGTGTTACGGTTGCATAATCAAAACTTGCCTGATGACTTTTTCCTTGTGAGAAAGGTCTAAAAATGCTCGCGGGAAAATACCACATCAAAAGACAGCATGACAGGGCTGCACTTCTCCAGAAACGCTGTGCCGTGCTGAATTCACAGTGTTTTTTTCCCCAAGTCTGTGAATCTGGAGTGATGGTTTTCATAAAATAATTGATCATTAAATTATCAATATTCTGTAATCATTGTAAAAACACATGATCTCATGTGACTGTGAAGTGGAAATATTTATAAAACTTGTCCCCACTTACATGTAGAGAAAAAAAAAAAACACTCATGTGAGGTTTGATTCTCCGAGACTGTTTGCTGCATGTATGATAATGTGGCATTAAAAAAGTCGGTGCCTTTCATACATGTGTGTGCTACCACACCAGTGAAAAGGTCACACACAGTGTGAGTCTTTGAGGATGGAGAGGAGACAGGAAGCTGTGGGTGTTCACACTTCCATTCCACATGACTTGAAAGCCGCTATGAAGTAGGGAGAGGACAAGGCCTTCATGGATAACTGTGGCTACCTTTGACCTCTGCCAGTCAAAGCGGTGATAGACGCAGGTCTGTCAAATCTTGCAGAGTTATTAGGGAGATACTGTCGATAAATAATCCAACGAAGTCAAAAAACAAAGTTAAATAAACCAGGAAGTAATTCCCTAACCATGAGTCGCATATCATTCGCCCATTCTGATGGTCTAATTCACAAAGCAAATAGCACTTATGATATTCAAGCATGAGAAACCCTCAACGTTCTCCAGCTCTGTGCAGTTTGCTCAATTTTTTCACTTTAATGTGACTAAAATGAGCTGAAAGCAGCTCTGCGTGCCCTGCAGAGCTGCGCTGTGCACTCTAATCCTGATGGTGCTAGATTACTGTATATCTAGATGTACGATGAGCTGGAAAGAGACGAAAAGTCCTCATCTGTTGATTAGATATGACACAAATTTTGCAGTTTGCCCCCAGCAGTTGTTCAGATCAAGAACAACAACACCCCTTTGTATGTGTTTTTGATTTTAACTTAAAAAAAGGCATCTCCAGTTGGTATTAACAGACTTTATGTAACAATATGTGATTTCCAGGTCATCCAGAGTTGGATTTGACTGATCACTGAAGATATTGGGCACACTGCTCATACAAACATACCAGCAGAGGGTTAATATTTCACTCTTCTTGGGTGGTGCTGTCAGCTCCAGTGTCTGAGTTTGGTATATTTTACACTGAGGCTGGTTTGCATTGTTTGCTCAAGATTAATCCTCATTTAAATCTATGCAAACTGATGCACAAAAACACTATTTGCCCTGCAGTGTAGCCTGTGCAGCCTGTGTTGTATTAAACCCTTTGTGTGTGCCGTGTGAATTAGATGTCTTCTTTGACTGTTTACACTAGTTTAGTGGTGCACAATCCTTCAGTGAATCAGGTCTAGGATGAGTGTGAAAGAAATGATTCATTTAAACCCAGGGCCTAGATCTGTTCAGGGTTCAAGCACCCATCCTTTAACTTTACAGATGGTGGTCATTGAGTGTATGTGCGAGCTTAACAAATACTCATACATGGACCTTGTGTCTGGAGTATTCTGTTAAACTATGTGGAAGTTTTAAAATTGAAGATAATTGAAGGAAATGTCATTTAAAGCCACTCTGTTTGTTACCTCTATGTTTCATCATGGCAACACCAGTTTCTCACCTCGTGGCGTGGTGTAAGTGTTCTGTGTCAGATGTGACTCATGTCCAGTCATATCCTGCTGACGCCTATGGACAGGCCTGAATTTCCACACATTACAACGTATTGCAACATACGGTCCATTCAGTAATGTGGTTTAAGTTAGTTGTGGAAAGTATGAAACCCACTATATATGTAGGCGCCATTATTCCAATACTGGCATTTAAAAGGAAAGCCCACTCAGACCTTTTACACCCACTGTTAGGTAATGGAAATAGTGCACCTGTTCACCCAATATGGCCTGACTATAAATGTGTCTGCGTATGTGGACTGGGGGTGTACATATGATGCAACATCTGTATCCTGTACCTTGTTATGTAAGTTTTACGACGATACTGAGGTTACCCAGTATGCCCCTGAAATGTGCCCCCCACCGCCTCCAACCAAGCAACAGGTGTTTGGGTGTGTGTGCAGTATGTGTACTTGTGTGTTGGTGTGTCACTATGTTAATGTGACATTTTAAGAGTATTTTGATCTATTTTCATGATTTACTTCCTTAGAAATGGAGCAAATGGGGAGACAAGAGCAACTAAGAGGTTAAGACATCGCCGACCTGAAAATAGCTCAAGTTAAGCTTCATATCCAGTTTTGTTTGCTTCTTTTTCTACAAAGACACAAAAGCAGCAACATGGTCTATGACTGCTCCACAACCTGACATCTGCCCCGTACGTGTAAAGGTGCAAGGGCCCGTTCATTAATTAATATTAGTCCTCATGATGCATTAATGTTTGTCTTATTTTAATTTTTGAAAAGATTTAAATTTCTCAACCTACCTCTCATCTCTTTACTGATTCCATCATGTAACTGTGAATGTCATGCTCTCTCACAAAAAAATTCACCCTGGGTTATTCCAATGCAAACAATAGGCTGTTTTGATAGTGAGCTGTTCAACTCAGCTCAACTGCCACCTACTCCCCACAAGGGGTTTTGGACCTTACTAATGAATATTAATAAATCATAAATCTTGCTATTAACAGTTTTTGAATCTCATGCAAAGACATTAATACCAATTTTAGGCAAAATATTTGGATTGAAATGGTTAAAAATCCATTTCATTACTCAGCCACCTCTTGGGTTGTACATCTTTTGGCGTGGTTTTGCTATCGTGGGTAATTCATGCAAAAATTCCAAAACAGTATTTTAGTTCACACTACTTATATTTTTAGGTTATACTTTGAACAAACAAAACAGGAACTAAGCTCTTACATGTTGCAAAAAGCAGATAAATATCAAACATGAAGTCCTGCCAAGCTTAACAGTTCACTTATATCTCTTCCACCGTTAAAATAAACCCTTTTATGATTGTTTAGGGCTAAAGTCTTATAATGTCGATCTGTCTCAGTTTCTTTTCTAAACCCTCCTGCTTGGTTAGAAAAGAGTTAAAAAACATACAGCTCATACTTGATCTACTCCTTTTTGGTTTCACATCCTTTTTTGCTTCAGGACACTGAGCACAATATTGAACACTTTTATTGCAGCTCTGCCAAGAAAATGTCATTATTACTGTAATAAAGATCACTATTATCTTGGATTCTGAGTCAATACTTTGCAGCTTAGAGAGATGAGATGTGAGATGAGACTACGGGGGAAGTTGGGGAACCAGTTGGGAGCATTTATGAAGTTTTTCCTTTTTTTTTTACGGCTAATGGTGCAGGAGGGGTGCTACAAATCAATTCTGACAGAGAAGCAGGGCACTCCCTGAAATTAAAAAAGGAAAATAACCAGGGGGAGCAGAGAGAAGTGAAAAAAGTGTGAGTCTGTATGTGTGTGTGTGCAAAAGAGGAAGCTGAACTGACCTCACCCGCTGGAAATGGCAGATTGGATCTGCCATGTGACACAAATTCCTCTTCATTCTTGCTCAGTAATCAGCACGCACCCTCCTCCCTAATCAACACTTAATAGCAGCTTGAGCGGTTTTGGTGTTGTGTATGTTGTGCAACTGAACCCACAGTTCAGCCTTTTCTCCTCTATCTGAGCTATTTGTGTGACATTACATGTAATCACCGGCCACCTTTAATGCGTAGTGGTTCATTGTACATTGCTGCTTTTTCTTCAGCCAAATCTCGAGGTGATTATCCGTCATTACAGCCTGATTTCAGGGCAGAACAAATATGCAAACAGAAGCAGAGAGGCGGGATGATGGAGAAGTGCAAGGCCGCAATTAGTCACTGAGGTCATGGAAACTTGATTTCTTGAAAAAAAAAGAGAAGGAGGGAGGGAAAAATCCCTGTCCACCCTTTGTTCTCATTGCCTCTCCTCTTGCAAATGCTTGCCAAGTAACAGTTGAGCATGGGTTAAATCAGAGGGCTTGGAACAAGGGTCAGGAGGTCAGCAGATCAGCAGCTAGGCTGGCTGACACACTGACCGCTCAAATGGATACAGGTCTAGAGCTAATCGTGTCCAGTTTCATCCAGGGGTGTGTCCAGAGCTGTGTACAGGGTTGGCAGGGCCACAGTGAGATGTAACAGGCTACTGCTTAAATTCTATGTAGTAACTTTGGGAAATTAGTTTTCTCTTTGAACCCTTGGACAAGTATTTAGAGAGGTGAAAGACATTTGTAATGCAATTTTATTGAGTTATTTTTGAGTGAAAAACCCTGGTCAATCGTTGTCTGTAAAAACCTACTTTTGAGCCTCATTCTTGTTTTTTTTTCAATTATCATATGCATTATAACTTCTAGAAATCAGGTCTGCTTTGACAATGGTAATGTGCAATATTATGTTGACCCCAGGCTTGCTCTTGTTCATCAACTTTGAACATCATGCCTTTCCATTTCATTATCATGAACACCACACCTGTTATGTTTATAACCATGTGCAATATAATGTTGACGTCAGGCGTTTGCGTTATTAAAATGCAATATTACCTTTGAAAATATGCTTTCCGTTTTAATTATCATATGCCACCAAACCAACAATTGTCCTTCTTTTGTTAGAAAACATATAATATAACCCTTAAATGTCATGTTTGTCTGTTAGTGATTATGTGCAATGCTTACTTTTGAAAATCAGCTTCTTGTGGTCACCATCATCTGTAATTGAACTTTAGACGCAGTATTTCTTTTGAATACCAGGATTTATATTTATATTACTGTTTGTAATTTTATCTTGGACAGTGGGGTTTCTGTGATCATCGACATGTGCATTACTACTTTTGAATTTCAGGCTTTTCCCCTTCATTATAGTTTCTTTCTTTTTTTTTTAAATTCTTGGTATTGTTTTACTCTGCCCTTAAAAATTCCACCTTAAGGATTGTAATCGATTTTAAAGTGTCATGGGCTTACTTCATTGATATTTTAAAGTTACATCAAGTCACATCTTATTCTCAATGATAACTAAGACAGAAATATTTACATAAATGCTTTCTGTCTCTGCTTGTGCAGACATGTTTAATGTTTGTCAGTGCCCCACTTTGTCCACACATTTTTAAAAATCTGGTGGTCTGAACTCCCAATTGGTGCATCGTGGTGTCATGCAGATGTGACTGAACAGGTGGACCTGTGAAAAGAGGATTAACATGTAAGATTTGCATGTCTGTGTCTGTGTGTGTGTGTGTGTGTGTGTGTGTGTGTGTGTGTGTGTGTGTGTGTGTGTGTGTGTGTGTGTGTTCTGAGGGTTTGTGTGTGAAATGCGACCTTGTCCTGAGCTCCGGCCATGGCAGGAAAGCAGACCTGCTGAAAAGAATCGGAGGAAGTACACAATAAACTCCCTGCGGACACACACACGCACACAAAGACATGGTGTGAGAGGATTATCAAACACACGTTATATTTCCCTAAAGCTGAGCACAAACCATTCACAGCCCTCTGTATGAGTGTGACAACATAAATCATCCTGCTTGTCAGTCAGAAACAACACATACACACATACTGCAGCTCTAGCTGTCCAAAGTAGGGCGCCGCAGCGTTCATCACTCAAGGGCGTCACACAGCAGGAGAGCTTTCAGTGCAAAAGTGCTGCGCAATTACTGGGGAAGAAATAGCCTCTGCAGCCGTTCACCTTTGTCTTCCTGAGCTGGACCTGTTCCCCAGACACACTCAAGGGTCATTATCCATGCGAGGATGGAGATGACGCCACCTGCAGCCACTGAAGGCTGAAATATCCTGCCAGTTAGCTCTGCCAGGGATGGTTGCATCATTCTGAGAACGGGGACATTACTGGCTATATTTACCGTCACTAATGGACGGGGTATTAGATGTTCTGTTCTGTGGAAAACTGGCCAATTTGTGACGGATTGATTGTGTTCTGAGGTGGGCATGTGAAACGCTGATGGTTATTTTTGTGTAATGGTGGAGAATAATTGACTCTTAGTATGTTACTGCAGATGTCCCTGAGTTTAATTATCACAATGTTCTGAACATGGTTATTGAGAATAATTAATATTCATATTTGGATGTTATTAAGACAATCTGTCACTCGCTTCCTTTTCCATTGTGTATCTAAAAAGTAAAGAAAAAAAAACACAAGAACATGAATATTGAGCTCTCTTTATCTTTTCAGACCTGAGGCTAACAAACACACTAATACTGATAAACCTTTTAAATTTCCAAATTAAATTGATGAGGAAGCCAAAAGTATGTGAAGGGTAAAAAGAGGACATATCAGAAGAAAAACACAGCTACCACTGGACATCAGGATCAGGTTAGCGTATCGTTAATGTAATGCTAGCTAACATTATGATTTCAAAGTATTTTTAGTATGATTTAAAAAAATATGTCATGTTTAACGTTATAGTTTCAGTAAGTTAGCTGAAAATGGGATAATAATGCAGATTTAGTCAAACTTTCCTAACATATGTTCATTCAAACATGTCAGCTAGTTGCTACTGTTAGCTACTGTCTAAAAATAGCTACTCAGTTACTGTTAGCTAGTATCCAAAACTAGCTAACAGTAACTGTTAGCTACTGTCTAAAACTAGCTAGTCAGTAACTGTTAGCTACTGTCCAATACTAGCTAGTCAGTAACTGTTAGCCACTGTCCAAAACTAGCTAGTCAGTTACTGTTAGCTAGTGTCCAAAACTAGCTAGTCAATAACTGTTAGCTTCTCTCTAAAACTAGCTCATCAGTTACTGTTAGCTACTGTCTAAAACTAGCTAGTCAGTAACTGTTAGCTACTGTCTAAAACTAGCTAGTCAGTTACTGTTAGCTACTGTCCAAATTTAGCTACTCAGTTACTTTTAGCCAGTGTCTAAAACTAGCTAGTCAGTTACTGTTAGCTACTGTCCAAAACTAGCTTGTTTCTTTGCCCTCTTCCCTCTCTTATCCAGTCTGTCCACTGTTGTATCATCTAGATAAAGGTATAAATCCCTTAAAACAAACTTGAAAAATACCACTTTCAATCCTCTAAACTTAGCAACAATTAAATATTTTGACTCCTTTAAGTTCATTTTATAGAGGTGGATGTTTTTGATGAGTGAGCTACCTTTGCAAACAGAAAAGTTGTTTTTCAGCTCTATCTCCAGACACAAGCTTTTCAGACCGTCTTAAAGAGAAGCAAAACAACCACAACAAAAACAGAAAGTAAAGAAACAGTGTGAGGGAGGATACCAACACCTGCGCTTCTCTGCCTTTGGAAAGCACCCCCTCCTACACATGCTTACACACAAACACGCACATGTAAGTACACACACTTTTGTGTGAAAAAAAAAGTATGTGCTTTCATTCTCATCACCATAGATACCCAGCAGAAGTTCTCCAAAGAGCCCTCACAACCCACAAAGTAGCCAAATCCTCGCCATTCTGCTTAACCGCCGGCAACAATGCGAACACTTGTTTGGCCGATTCGTTTTGTGGGTCTCCTTTGTGTATTAGGATGAAGGGAGTGAGGTGGGGGTGAGACTGGGGGCTGTGGGGTGTTTTTATGCTGGTGTTGGACACTTTCTCGGGGCAGCGTGGGCAATGATGGAGGGGGCACATCTGAAGCTCCGCCAGAGAGAGGCCTCGAGCAAAACAGGCTTGTCTGTTGAATGCAAGTCTGGACGTGCTTTTCTCCAGTGTCTACCTGTGCTCTGTTGTGTTTTTCTCCCCTCTTTTTGTTTATTTCCCCCCTTTATCCCATGTCTTTCTCTCTTTTTTCCTGACCTATAATCCCACTATCTTTCAATACCCCACTGGCCTATTGTCCCTGATGCCAAAGATTGAATACCACACACACACACACACACACACACACACACACACACACACACACACACACACACACACACACGGCCCCTGCAGCCTGCTCTATTGTCCTGCCACTGCTGGCCTGAGTCCCTAATGCTGCTCTGGACTCGTGCCCATGTAAACAAACTCCTGTCTGTCTGTCTTTTTGTCCGTCGTTCTACCTCTGTTTTCTGCATCTATTCATGTCACTGTGATCACTCTTTTTTCTCTCCTCCTCCCGCTCGCTCGCTCTTTATGTCGGCCTCCTCTCCACCCCTCTTCTCCTCTTCTCTAAGCCGGGCTGAGCAATTAGTTAATGTACCCTCCACCCCGGGGGTTATTCTGGCACGGACGGCCGACAGAGTGCTTGTCTGCTGCTGGTGTGTGTGAGTGTGTGTGTGTGGATTTAAATGAGTGTGTGTGGCTTTGGCACTTGCATTGAGTGGGGTTGCTGGGCTAACGGCGGTCCATCCAGAGTGTTTTTGGCGCAGGCGGAGTTTTGGACAGCCCTCACCTCTTTTCACCACATGTCCACTCGAGCACTGCAGCCAGGCCTGCATCAAGGCCTCTAGTAAACAGCCTTTTAATTACCAAGGGGAAAGACCCAAATGTCTAAAGGATCAATTCATCCCAGCGATACACATTTTCAGCCTGTTCTGATTGATTGCTGTATTTTTTCGCAGCGCTTGGCCTATTGTTAAACCTCCCCATCCACCATGAATGCCTTTTTCATTTGGCTGATGTGAAGAAATATTCAAAATCCATTTCAAAGACAAATGAAGGATCAGAGCAGATTCATAACTGCAGCTATAAAGAGCAGACTGTTGTGTACACAGCTGAGGCTTTTCTCTAATTCAGGGATTAAAATCGACTTTATGGCCATTTGAGCAGGAGTTGTAAACAGACTATATCTGGAAAATAACATGCAGTGACAGGCCGTGGATGTTCTGCCTAATCACTCTGAAGTCTTTATGTAAACCCATTAACCCAATATACTTAGAGTGTTTTTGCAGACCTGATACATATGCTATGCTCGCTCTATATCATTCCTGATGTGTCTTGCTGTTTTTAAAAGTCAACCTTTTTCTCTGTTCAGTCTTTCTAGGTGCCTTTCATTACTCATTCGCGACAGAAAAGCCTGGCTTCTGACTCAGTACATTCACAGACACATTTGAGTCAAGCTCTGGTCATAGCTTGATCAGGTAACATGACCCCATTAGCTACTGGATCATCTCCAACTACGTACCGAAACAAAAGCTTTAGCAAGTGGCTAACAGGACGTAAGTTGAACAATGAAAACAACATCCCTTTTACAACTGCGTATGATACAACAGCTTATCTTCTGTTTCTGTCAAGGTTTGTTTACCTGTTGACCTCCAAGCTTTTCAACTTCTGGTTTAAATCCTGATGTACAAACTCTTAAGCTTAATTGGATCAGTTTCAGTCCAACTGAACAATACATGGAAAAAAACAATCCCCAACTGCATTATACATATAGTCCAAGAATGAGAAATTCAATTTAGTCCAGTTTCAGCTCAGCTGGAAGAATGCAATAAATGTAATTTTGTTTAATAATGTGTGTATGTAATGACTGATCAGATGTCAGACCAAAGCAAAGATGGCAGCCTCTTTCTATCAGCCAGCCACATAAATGACCCTGGATGTTCCAGAAACTCAAATTTCTTAGCTGACAGTCTCATGGAGCAAGTAAATTTTATGGTAAATCGCTGCGTTGGAAGAGTCAAATATTAGAAATATTATCCCAAGCACAATGTTATGTCATTTGTTGTTGTTGGCACTGTTCGCCTCTCGTCACATCGTCGATTTTCAAAGCTGGTTTGGTTTTTATCTGAACTCCTCTCGCCCTCGTGGTATAGTTATGTTATGCTGCCGTGTTTGTGAGTATACCAAACATTCAGTTGTTGTTTCCTGGTCCTCTTAGGTTCAGACTGAAACATCTATATTAAAGTTAGAAAGTATATACACTTGAAAAAATATTTTTTATTCCGTGTCAGTGCCACCCAGAGTCAGTTAAATACATTACTAATTCACTTCCTTCCTTGACTTCCTCCACTTAACCTCTTTATTACAAAGGCACATTTCAAGGAGCATGAGCATGAGCAAACTAGGTCGTTTCTCGATGCATTTTCTGTTAAACCTCTACAGAAGTAAACAACCAGCCTATTCACAAATTCCAGCGGAGTCGGCTCACCATGCCACAGTTCTATCTCAGCTCCTCTTTAGTGCCTTCAAAGCTATGTTTTGCCCTGCAAGGGAGTAAAAGGGCAGGCAGGCGCCTTGCTGGACACCTCTGTGCTTCTCTAAAGGCCTCGAAGGACGCTCAGCATGCGTATCCACTCGGTGCAAACAACAAAGGGAGAGGCTGCATCACAAAGGGACACCAGCGTGGACGAAGCGAGGCTCGG